CTTTTTGTTCAATATATCAGGAATCGATCTAGAGAATAAAGAATTGTTTCCAAAAGGACATTTATTTTACAAAACTGTTCCAGTAGAGGGAGCTTCCCTTTTTTTTCACTACAGGAAATCCTCTTTCAAGGGTCATCACTAAAAGTGAAAATTCTTAATTTTTTACATATGATTAAAGCTTTTCATAGAGTAGGGAACTACTCTCATCTAAGACTATTCTTGGATAGAGAAAAATTTTATTTGATTTATGAAAAAAGACAGAAAAACTTGGTAAAGAATGTGAGTATGGTATAAACCATATGTTGTATGTCTTTTTCAAGGGATTATCTTTTTGGAATATTCATAAAATTCATTTCTAACTAAAATTATTTCATAGTAATGAAGATAAATTCTTATAATCACAATTGTCAATTTTAAATATATTTTTCATGAATTGCAATAAAACTAGACAAAAATCAGAGAATGTAGTGATGAAGATTATGCATCTAGGAATATATTATAAAAATATCATGGTGAATTGCCACTATGCAAATTTGACCTCATTGATCAAAACATTCCAGTTACTGACCTTAAACTTCCTAAATCTAAGTATCTGTCAACTAAGCAAATCTTATTTCTTTGAAAAAAATGAGTATTTTCATCTAAGCTATTAAGAAATAAATTATACTAAAATCATTAATTTCTATTATAACATGAACTTTGTACTCCTTTCCATGAAATTTTCATAAACGTGAAAGCTCCACACACTTTGTTATGATTACCACGCATAAACTTTCTGACAATTACAAAGTCACAAAAATTTGCTATCTCATATTAAAATTTTTTCACTGAAAATAATTTGATTTAAAATAGTTCAACCCCTTACTTTTGCAAAAGATCAACAATTTCAGAAATATAATAATCATCACAAGTTCCTATTAAATACAGGCATATCAAAATAATATGACTTTCTATAAGGTACTTTTTACAAGATGAAGTATTTTTTAAGGTAGCCCAAAGATGAAAAATTGACACAGCAACACAGAAAAGAATATGTACATACTTTCCATAGAAATCACTGTGCACATAACTTAGTTACTCTAATTATTTGACTTCAATTTTCTTGAAAAGCTTGTAAACCATAAAAATGGAAATCTTATAGCAATTATATAGTAATAGCAAAATAAAATTTATATTGGTGGTTCAAAAATTTATATGAGCAGTACTTGCTTTTCTATATTGTTTGATTAAGAACAGGGGTTAAATTATCTGAAACTTTGCCTAGTTTCTCTTATACTCTTAAATTTAAAAAAAAAAAATCTGCCAAATGTGACTGAAACATGATAAGAAAATGACATATCCATAAAACAGTTTTGTAGTTAATGGGTTTGTTTTAACTTTACTTTCTTCAAAAAGATTATTCTTGACATAGAACACATATAATAATTTATTTATTATTTTTGCCTTCGTGTATTGTCTGAATGAGGTCATTAGAAAATAGTACTTGCAAGGCCCTTATTTTGTATTCACTTAACTTATTCTCTGGATATATCAACAATGTTCAGAGTTTCTTGTATCAGTAAATGTTTATGTTCTGTATTTCTGCCTTTTAAAAAGTAATGTTTCATTTGTAATTACTAAATGTTTCACAGCTTGCAAAAAGAGAATAAGACCCAGAATATATAATTCACTTAGAAAAGGGAAACTTTTAAAGCAGTTTGAGAAGAAAAACGTAGTCTTTTGAAATAATTTTTTTCTGGAGTAATCTCAGCTGCAAATAACGTAAGATGCCAGTTACTAAAATACACTCACAAGTCAGTGAAAATAGAGCAAATTACTTGTTTTTAGAGGTCTCAATAGATAGGCTGCTGGATAGTTTTAGAAAACAAAACGATTTAAGGGATACTGTCAACAAGTCAATATAGAATTGCAAATTTCTCGGTTATATCAATAACAAGTGGTTGCAACAGGCTTAATGAGATCTCCAACTGTTCAATACAAGTGCACTCACCTGAGTAACAGTGCTGCTTCCCAGAAGTAAAATCCCGAAACTAATGTCCGCAAGTGTCTCACGTGGGCCATGATACGGAGAGATATATTCACGATCTTGAAAGTGGTCTTATCCAAGGCATGGGGAACCAGAAAGACAGAAATGAAAATGTGCGATCTGGCCCCGCGCGGTGTTGGGGGAGACCAGTGCTTGGGCGGCTTCAGCACCTTAGACAGCTCCCCGCAGCCCGCGGAGACGTTCTCGCCGGGACCCTTGGGATGCGATCCCTTCTCTGAGCATGGAGCGGAGGGGAGACTCACGAGACGTGTAGGTGATGTACACAGTGAAAGCAGAAAAGGGAACGAGATGAAGTGTCTGAAGTGCCTAGGTTCTGGGGAACAGTTCGCTAAAGCTCTGGCAGCAAGGGAAGAATGCTCGTCCTTGCGGGACCCAGACTCATGATTGGAGGAACCGCAGCAACAGCCAGCGGCAGGAGGGAGGATGCTTCTCCACCTGCTCCGAGCGCCGCCCGCCGGAATCCCACTCTCCGCCTTTAGTGAGACCTAAGCCCCAGCGCGGCAAAGGGGGGCGGGGGCGGGGCCAGGCGACCCCGTGTTGCCCGCCAATCACGACCGCACAGCGGGACAGAGTGACAGGCCACTTACGGCGGTAGGCGGAGCTTAGCACTTCACCCTTTGAAAAAATGCAGTGAGGAGCTGGTGCAGAGCCCCAGCGACCGGGGGTGAGGGAGGTGGGGAAAAGAAGCCGCCAGGTTGAGCACCCGGAGAGTCAGCGGTTTCGTGGATTAGGTAGCAGGACCGCGAGGGAGGGACCCTCCGGTATTCCCTTGCGGGAAAAGGCACAATTTAGTAACAAAGTCTTTTCCGATGTGACACTGTCCCTTAGCCCTTACAGCGCAATGCAAGCATCAGCAGTGAAACCAGACTCTTCCAAAGGGCTGGGGAAGAGAAGAAAATGTGGTGCACGAGCGCCAGTGGAACGGAAGAATCAGCTGCCTCTAGAATCCTCTCATAAACCTGGCCTGGAAGCGTTGCCTGGTGTAAGTTGCGTTTCCTTTAGTAACAGTAAGGGTTCTGAAAAATGAAGGTGGGAAAGCTGAAGAGATGGCTGCTAAGGCGCAGTGCTTCCCACCATTTTTTTTCTTACCCGTTTAATGTCTTCACAGTAAGTTTAAGTGAGGAGGACAACTAGGTCTTTGGTATTATATGGTACATCTTTTCTCCCATCACCTCAGTCTGTCTCACCCTCCCTTTCTTTTCCCTGAGTTCTGGAGGTTGAAAGTCCAAGATCAAGTTGCCAGTAAGTTTGCTTTTTTCCTGAGGCCTTTCTCCGTGGCATGCAGATGGCCACCTTCTCCTTAGGTCTTCATGTGGTCGTTCCTCCCTGTGTCCACATCTCTTGCATCCCCCATCTGTCCTAATCTCTTCTTATACCGACGCCAGTCAGACTGGATTGGGGGTCATCCTAAGGGCTTCATTTTAACTTAATCACCTCTTTGAAGTCCCTGTCTCTAAATACAGTTACGTTCTGATGTGCTGGATGTTAGGGCTTCAGCAGATGAATTTTGTGGGCAACACAATTCAGCCTATAACAAGCACCCATCACCATATATTGGCAACTGATTAGGGGAATGGACTGCATCGTGGAGAACAGTACTGCAAACCCGCAGGACATTGTCCTAAAGCCAGGATATTTGCGGAACCTTCAAGAGGCTACTCTGCCATTCTGTTAGGCCAAATACTTGTACATGATATAAGACCAATTAGTCTAATAGTTGTGAGCCCATTCTTGTATATTTTGTTTGCAATTGATAATTGTCTATTCTCTTCTTTGAAAGTAAAATCCTTTAAAAATCATTTTAAGGGGCATATTTTAGAATATTTTTAAAAGTCTATTTAACTATCTCATACACACATATTTACAAACACTATAAAATTATTTCTGTTCATGGAATGAAAAATGGCATTGTTTAAAATGATTCACCATTTCATTTAAGGCCTCAAACTAAAACTTAGTTTTCTTCTCTGTAGTTTCTCTCCCTTTCACTACATTTAGCTGGAATGCAGACTGTGAGTTGTTTTGCTAGAGAGTGTCTCACTTGACAAGTAAAGTGATTAGACAAACAATGAGTAGCTGTTAAGCCAATTTTTTCTGCTTTATTATTTTGTAATTTAAAAATGGCATATTATATGCTTTAATTTTCACTCAAGTGAAAATGCAAATAAATTACCAAGATGTGGTTTATAGATGAAATACTTTTATAGTAGCAATAATACTTTTTATTGCTTTTTAAAAATGTTAATTTTTTCTAAGCTGGTGGTATATCAATAAGATATACATGTAAAATTCTGGCGTTGTTTGTCATAATGTTCTCTTGTTCTCGTGATCTCATCAAGTCCTCCTGTGTGGGCATTTGGGCTACAGCCCTTTTATTATTCCATTTACGTTCAGAATTTTGTGTTGCAGTTTGCCTACCTTTATGGTATATGGGGCTATGACCAAACAATCTAAAACTTAATGTATTCAGTGGAGTATTCAGAGTAGACACTTTACTCATTGTGCGTTGAATTTTGTCCCCCCCCAAAGGAGATATGTTGGAGTGCTAACCTCTAGAGTCTCAGAATGTGACTTTATTTGGAGATAGGGTCTTTATAGAGGCAATCAAATTAAAATGAGGTCATTATGGTGGGCCCTAATCCAATATAACTGGTGACCTTATGAAAAGAAGAAATCTGGATTCAGAGATAGACAAGCATAGATGGAAGGTGATATAAAGAAACACAGGGGGCTGGGCACAGTGACTCACACCTGTAATACTAGCACTCTGGGGTGCTGAGGTGGGAGGATCACTTGAGGTTGGGAGTTCTAGAACAGCCTGAGCAAGAGCGAGACACCGTCTCTGCAAAAAATAGAAAAATCAGCTGGGTGTGGTATCATGCACCTGTAGTCCCAGCTACTCGGGAGGCTCAGACAGGAGATGATCATGTGAGCCCAGGAGTTTGAGGTTGTAGTGAGCTACGATGATGCCACTGCACTCTAGCCAGGGTGACAGAGCAAGACTCTGTCTTAAAAAAAAAAAAAAAAATAGGGAGAAGATGGCTATGTACAAGCCAAGGAAAGAGGCCTGGAACAGATATTTCTCTCGTAGTCTTCAAAAGGAACAAGCTTGCCAATACCTTGCTTTTGGACTTACAGCTCCCAGAACGGTGAGGCAGTACATTTCTGTTGTTTGAGCCACCCAGTTTGTGGTAGTTTGTTACAGCAGCTTTAGAAAACTAATACATTCAGCCCTCTACATCTGTTATCCAAATTCCTGGCCCCCTATCTGTCTTTTCTAAGTCAAATTGCCTTGGAATCAATAGGAGGATAGGCTTGAAGGGGATCTTGATAGAAGAATGGGTAAGAACTCTTTCTTCCTGGGACTAGAGGACAGTTTCCAGATTCTTGCAAGAACCTGGCACACAGAGGTTCTTAGATTGATAGGGGGAAATGTGACATTGGTGGAAGTTTCCCGAATGAGTGTGACCTTGGGGACTAGGGAGGAGCTGGACTAGGTCCTCCTCCCCTGAGATTGACAGTTCACCTGGAGACCTAGGAACAGGAAGGCTTTATCCTGCTGCTCAGCAGGGGACAGGCAGCCCTTCTGCCCCTGCACCACTAGCTCAGTGTTGCAGAAGCTAGCAGACCGCCTCCACTTGTTTACTCCCACCACTGGATCTATTGTCTAGTAAAGAAAATAACAAGGCTGGACAGGAGCTCTAACAGCCAGAGAGGAAGATCAGTCAGTACAAACAGATCTCATGCCAGCAAAACAGAGTTGCTGTAGGAGACAGAAAGTCACTTGAACAAACAAATAACAAGAACTCTTAAGGAAACTTGATTGCACCCCAATCACACATGCTTTCTGGAACTAAAATAACATGATTTTCCTACTAAGTATTTCAGTAGGTAAACTGAAGTATGGTTGAACAGTTAAACTGTGAACCCTTTCAGAGGTATAGAAGCTCTAGGGGAAGAAATGTGTCGAAGCACAGAAGTACAAATTATAATAGAAAAACAAGCAACTGGCTGTGTGGAGAATAGATATAATAAAAATAATAAACAAAATTAGGAGTTACATAAGAAAAAAACATGATGGAAGCTTAAGAGGTAGTAAGCAGGGCCGGGCATGGTGGCTTACATCTATAATCTTAGCACTTTGGGAGGCCAAGGTGAGAGGATCACTAGAGGCCAGGAGTTCAAGACCAGCTTGAGCAACATAGTGAGACCCTGTCTCTACAAAAACTAGAAAAATCAGCTGGGTGTGGTGGTGTGCACCTGTAGTCCCAGCTACTCAGAAGGTTGAGGCAGTAGGATGGCTTGAGCCCAGGATTTGAAGGTACACTGAGCTATGATGATGTAACTGCACTCTAGCCCAGGCAACAGAGTGAGACTATCTCAAAAAAAAAAAAAAAAAAAGGTAGTAAGTAAAAACATACATAAAAAAATATATATCTTGAATTGAAGAAACAATCAAATTATCAGATTAATGAGTCTCACTAAGTTTTAGGCAGTTTTGAAGTGAAAATAAACAAAGGTAGTCATACCCTGCTATAATTAATAGGTTATTAAAAAAAGAAAATTTCTATTAATATAAGTTTTCAGACAGAGATTGTAATAAAAAAACTAAAAAAACAAAAACAACCAAAAAACTATTAGGCGAAAAGAACTCAGCAATTTATCACAGGAAAAAAATACTCTATAACCAAGAAGGGTTTATAGTAAGAAGGCAAGGCTCCTTCAATATAAAGAAATCTCCAACATAATCAGTTATTAACAAATTTAAGATATAAAGCATATGGCCATTTATGGAATTTGAAAAATAGTGATAAAATTTTTAAATATCCAAGTAAAACAGGTATGTTTTTAAAATATTTGAATGCAATAAATATTGTCTAATATTATGATTACACTTAGGCATATTTATAAAATGACATATAGTGTATATACAGGTAAAGAAAAAAAATTTGGCATGTTTCTTGATTCTTAAGATTAGGAAACTTTGGTACCCACTATTTGGGAAATGGTCCTG